ATTTTCATGTCTTTTCATCTTTGTTGCGTTAGTTCATGTTCTCGAATATTCCTAATATCTCTTTATTATTGCACTTTACTCAATTGTAAACAAGGTTGTGATGTATCGGTGTTCACCAGTTGTGAGCGAACAGATTCCTGAAAGTAGGGTTGGTGGTTAGTGATCATAGAGGTGATTGACACCTATTTCCGGTAATTTTTTCTACAACAACTGGTTTGAGTTGTTTCATAGCAGGAGTTAACCATCCTCCGAAGCTCTTGAAATCATTGAAATTCTCGTCGGGAACGCTTCCGCGATACCTTAACACTATTCATGTAATATTCATAAGTATGAGTTACCAGAGGGGATGATACAATCCAGATAGTTCAGTGATATTGATTCCTCCAGTTATGGCTTTCCAATCGTCTGCTGATGTGAAAATTCCAACTTCTTGCTTGTAAACCTATTAGTGAATTCATTGCTTCTAAGTTTGTAGCTCTGTCACCTTGCTTGATTCAGTAATGAAATCAGTAACGAATTGAACGTTGCTCTTGACATCCAACCATTTAGTTGGGTTAACAACCTCGATAACAATACATAATTGAATTGAGATGTATTACAATATACTTGTAACCAATAGAACTGAGTGAAGAAGTTACAATTATAAAGTCCGGTATTGAAGGTATGAACTTGTACGGTAGCATTTTGAGTTGGAGCAGGAGTTACATAGATTGAAACTCCAACTTGGGCTTAAAACATTATTGCAGATTGTGAGCAAAGCAACTTTACCAAGTACAGCATGCATTACATTCGTGCAGAAGTTCATATCGAAAGTTCCTGTTGGAGCCATAGCTCTGATCAGGTATACTTGATAACATGGTTCTAAAGGCTGGATAGCTTACCTCACCGTAACATTGGCATATCCATCACCTGGTAAGGCACGGATCTGGGTAATAGTAGCTGGTTGAGAGAAATCGAGTGTTATAGCTTGACTGTTCTGTGATTAATTTTGACTTGGGAGGAATGATTCAGGGAAGATTACCGAAGTTGCTATAAGCATAGAGGAGAGCAGTATGATGAGAATCATCTTGGACTTCATCTATAATATGAATTATACAAAATTAAATTGATTGTGTTAGTTGAGGCTTTCGCAGACCACGTTATCTATTTGATTTTTGGTTGTTTCAATCAATTTTCTTGTTCTGAAGAGAGGATTCTTCAGTAATCGTAGATTACAGCCCAACAGCTTGTTGCTACATCAACCCTTTCTTTGTGTCATTCATTCATGAACAACAGTATTGGATCCGTGATTATTTCGATCACGACACCTATGAATACATCTTGTGAATGGTAGTCTGAGCTGATGCTTATAACAACTTTTTTGATGATAGAGTGAGAGTCTCCTGTCTTAAAGAATGATGAAAGAAGAAGGGAATGAGAACCAAAGTTTACAATTACAATATTTATTACCTTATTTACAACACAATAAAATAATATTATCTTGATGCGTTTCCACTAATGGCAGGGACAATGGGAATACTGCGGATCGTTGCTCTTCCAATCTTGGGTGCTTCGATGGCTAGTTTACCGTCTGAGGTAATTGAAGACTGGATAGAAGTCACTTCGACATCGGCGGGCAATGTCCATTTGCGGACGAAAGATCTGCAGAGAGAGTTACTTCCATCCGTCTTTTCCTGATGCGCTTCGATTGATAGACAACGGCCATCTACATTTACTTTCAATTCTTCCGGCTTGAAGTGTGAGACATCAATGGAAACTACGAACTTCTCATCGTTGTCGATGACCTTAACAGAGAAACTGTTTCCATTCAAAGCAGCTAAATGACTTACTTCGTTGAATTCGTTTCCGATATCCAAAGCCATGTTGTGTCTCCAGTAAGGAGTAAAGCCTCGGTCCATGAGATCCCAGTCATTCCAGAAGCTATCCATATTGCGAGAGTAAGGACGATAAGTTGGGCGAAGAGAGAGCGACATTTCAGAAAGAGCGCTTATGTGTACGTCGAAGAGTCAGCTTGCCTCCTCATATCTTTCCTCCTTTTATACTACTGGCACCTAACTCTCCTTCTGGAATGTTCCAGACTATTCCAAAGGCTTTTCATTTGCTGATGAGTGTTACTCAACTCGTGAACGCCCCCAGACGAGAGTTAATCATCAAGGAATTGCATTGCATGAATTACAAATGCTGAATTGCAAAGATAAGATGATGGGTCACACATCGTAAAAATAATTTCAATTCTTCAAATATGAGAAATGCGAGATATACCTCAAACATGAGGAACGCTCTTTAGAATGAACAACATTCCGAAAATATGAAAGAGAGACAAAGTAATCAGTCAACTACCGAGTATGCAGAAACCGTTTCTTAGCCATTGAACTGCTCCTCTGTTCGTCCCTTCTCCCCCAAACCACCCCTTTTCTGCTCGTGTTTCCCTCATTAATAACAAAGCAACAAAGCGTCTTTGTTTACAATTGAGTAAAGTGCAATAATAAAGAGATATTAGGAATATTCGAGAACATGAACTAACGCAACAAAGATGAAAAGACATGAAAAT